GTAGGCAGCTGACATCATTAATTTATAGTTTTTCTCCCATAATTTATCCCAATGGTCTAATTCAATACTGTATCCACATTGGCTTTTTCTAATGCCCTGCATTTTTTTTTCCTTATTAGAATTATTGACCTTTGAGTATCTTCATTTTTAAGTATTTTTTCCATCTTGTGTTTCTTTTCTCATCAATTTCTTTTGGCATGGAATTATGAATCTGCATTATGTTCTCTTCCAACATCATATTATCATTTTTAAAGTTAGGATCAGGTCAAGATTTGGCTCAAATCAAGGATCCTTTGTGCTTTCACTGATTTCTGAAGAAAAAATTATCATGTTCTGTCTAAATTTCCTGGTGGGACCTTACTTAACATAATTTTGCCCAACAGATAACTTGGAAATTGTCAAGGACCATGAAGTATCCTGAGTTATTTTTTTTTAATGAAAGTTAGAAGTTGCTTGATTCCAGAATAACTCTTTAAAGCTTACATTAATGTAGCTTCCAAATGGTCTTCAAGGCAGTACCAATTATGGGACGATTTAAATCTTATGGGAAGATTTAATTGCTCCCAATGCAAATTGGGTACAACTGGCAAACCAGTTGGAGCTAGGCAAAGACTGCTTGTATTTTCACTGATCCAAGTAAGAGCTTTGAGTTCAAGATGTCCCCCAGATTGTGCACCAGTCTAGAGCAAGGGAGTGGAGCCCCATCAAAGACTAAGGCTGGAAAGTCCCCAGCTCTAAGTAGAATCAAAAATCAACAGCCACTAGGTTTTGAGCTTGAGTCTGTTCCTCCTTATCTAGATCTACAGCTTCCAGTTACTAGGGTAGAACATTGACAGAATCATTTGATTGATCTGGAATTTTGATCTGCAACTGAATATCACCTATAGATTGCAAATAACAAACCCTGAAGTAGAGCATGATCTCCCGCAGACATTTTTTTAATAGATTTTATAGATGTTATAGGACAGTGCTGGTGAATCTTTTCGGCACCAAGTGCCAAAAAGGGAGCACGTCCGGGCATTCGTCTGGGCTGCAACCCAGAAAAGGAGCTGCCCAGGGTGCATGCATGTGCCCGAAAATGAACTTCTGGTTTCTTCTGTGTTTCTCGCACGCATGCATAGGCAACGATCACCTGGCTGGCATGCATGCTCACGCAGGAAAACAAAAGCCAGCTCTTCCAGTTTCCAACACTGCTGCATGCACAAAGGCCAGCTGATTGTCGGCGTGCTTGTGCACTAGAAACCCAGAAGAGGAACGGGCACTGCCACGCTTGCCAGGCAACATGGCTCCATGTGCCACTTCAGGCACACGTGCCATAGGCTCGCCGTAGGAGGAGCTACGGCACTGAGCTTTAAGGCACACTACAGATGAGAACCCAAAAATGTAACCACTGCCAACACCAGCACAAACTAACTATCAGGAAAGGAGGAGAACTACTATAACATGGTGCCCTCAGCTCCCAAAATCCTCAGCTAGTCTAGAAGGATACCATGATAAGCTATCTTGAAAGCCACCAAGGAAACCAGAAGCAAATGATGCACGCGCCCACACACACACACACACACACACACACACACACACACACACACAGCTCTGCCAAAATCATCAGCCGGCATGTGCTGTCTCCATGCTGAAACCCAGTCTTAAACCAAACTAAAATGGCTGCAGATGAATAGATGCAGATATTTTATTTTCCTGCTGCTTCAAATCTTCCAGTAAAAGTATGTACTGCACATGAAAATATGTTCAGGATTTTTTTTCAGAGAAGTATTTGTATTAGGACTAAATACATTAAAAAGGAATATAAATGGAATAAAAGATAGTGAAGAGGGAAGGAGATACATTTGGGCTAGCCTCATTGTTACATGGTGTGTTTGTGCAATTTTTTAATGGATAAATTTCCCTAGTGGATGTATGTAAGTATGTATGTATGTATGTATGTATGTATGTATGTATGTATGTATGTATAAACTAGACTGTTTCTGGCAGCTTAGACATTTTGGGTTTGAGGTTCAGGAGTGGGCTGGACTGGACCAGAATGCAGCAAGCTGAAAGATAGCTATTGAGGGGAAATACATCATTAATTGTGTTATAGCATTTGACAGCATGTTGGTAGCTGCACTATTTTGGTAGTGGTTCTTTGGACTGGTTTTGGGTGGTGTGTCGATTTTGATGTTATATTTTTGGAGGACTGGATTTTTGATGGATGCTAAGATCAGGCTGAGAGGTGGGCTGCTGTGAGATGCTGCTGCTGGATGCTTTTGCTATTGCCTGCTTCCTTCTGCACCATCTGCTCTATTCTTTTTGGAGTATGTTGGGGCTTTGAAGGTGTGAGTGGGTGGGTGATGACAGTAGAGTGGCAGAATACTTTAGAGTACTTTCAAGGTATTATTGGATATTATTTTAATGAAAGGGTAGTTCAATGATTAACTTTGAATGATTCTGTATGCAAAATATTCAAAAGCTCAGATACAGTATTGTTCACATTGTACCTCTCTTTCAATGCATCATAGAAATGCGGGGGATTTTGTTCTTCCTCCTATTCATATTGCACAGCATTTATCAAGTCTACATTTCTTCTAGCTCTCCTGTTCAAGTATGATGAAGTTTCAAATCTTGGTAATAAAGTAATTAGAAATAAATATCATCACCCAATTCTGTCCCAAGTAACATCTGGTAGAATCAATTAATTTGCATTTTGACCTGGATTCTGAATTGGGACAAGAATTTGGGATGTCTCAGAATATTATATACCATAGCAACCTCATACATTGTGCATATGTGTGGTACATTGGCACACATTATACAATTTATGCGCAGAAAAAGCAATGCTTAGTTATTCTGTAGTTGCTTTTTATGTAGGAGAACTACATAAACATAAACTACATGGATAGGATTAAGGATGTCTTTGTTCTTAGTCCTGGGAAATGTTGTTAATTTGGCAATAGAAAGGCTGTCCAGTGCAAACACCATAGCTAGAAGCAGAAACTGAAAGGAAAATGCTACCTTATAACTTGATGCTATAGAATGGCGTATTGCCATTTTAGGCCTTTGTAAACAATCAATTATCTTGGGTCTGATTTGTTTTCATTTCTTTGTTGGCTTTGTATCCCAACGATGAATGGATCTAGTTACATCTTTATTAGAAGAGAACAAAACTATGAGCTATGTCAGTGGTTCTCAACCTTTTCTTCACCATGAACTGCCTTTAAATACCTTTTGTGGCCATGAACCACCAAGACTTAACTCAAGATTTAAATCGTAACATTCTTCAAGCCTTTGTAGACTCCCTGTGTCAATATTGCATCCTCCCCTCCCCCAGGAGTTCAAGGACCACAGGTTGAGAACCTCTGAGCTATGTGAGATGTTTCCAAGCTTGCTTAAATAAATGAACCAAATTATTTAGGATTATATGGAAAATTGCGTACTAAAATGTAAGCTTCATTGAACTCAAGCAAATATTCAGAAGATATTCTGCATAACATAATCCTAAACAGAGTAATATGGCAATAAATACCACTGTACATAAGAAAGAAGAAGTTAAAGCTATATAAATTTGATTAATAAATAAATATGTTTCCCAGTTCCCATTATCTTTATCTGGGATTATTGAATGGAAATAGTTATTGCTGAGTGGGTAGAACTCAACTTGATTATCAAAGCACTGATGATTTGGCTCATTTTAAAGGTACCGCATTGTCTATCAATTTGAAATAAACCTTCAGGGTATCTGTGCTATTGATCCCCTAAAATTTAGCTTTTCCTTACTGGCAGTGGGTCAACACCATCTTACTGTATGCTCGCTTGTTCAATTTACTTTTATATTTCCTATTTCATTTTTTACCTTTTTAATTTGCAGTTGCTGATTTCCTAGATCACAACAACACTGTACTTTCATCTTATACAACACTGATCATCTACATTTTAATATTTAAAGTTAAAATGAGTTTTTCTACAATGTTATCTTTTCTTTAAATAAAGTTTTTTTCTACACCCTCTGGGACTGATTTATTTACAAAGAGAGAGGATTGTAATCATACATCCTGATGCTACAGGTGGTGCTATAGCAATTATGTGTTTTTCACTTTTACACAATAATTGCCAGAGAATAACACAGATATGGCAAGCATATCTTTCTGAAATGTGCAGTCTGAAACATGTTTTTTTTAAAAAATATTTATTTAGAGAATTTATAGATCCACCCACGTTAAATATATAATCCTAAGCAACTAAGAACAATCTACTCTATAAGTATACAATACACTATACCTACATAGAATTACAATCATACCACATACAAAATTAAAAATAATCATAATATAATACATATTCTATGTATTGTATTATATACAATTGTATTATATATAATACAATAACCTAAGCAGCATATGGAACTCACAAAGCAGCTGCATATTATATAGAGTTCAACTAAAAACCTGACCCAATCTTTGGGGGAAGAACCAGTTCATCACATCTTTCCAAAAGGCCAGGAAAGTTGGGTGCCTTTGGATCTCATAGGGCCGGTGCCATAACGGATCTGATTTCTTAAAATATCTCACATAAAGGCTAATGAATAACTGTAATGGCAACAGAACTCAATGCTAAATAATAATGATCCCAAAACTCAGTAGTTAATACATCTGGTTATCATGACAAATATTCTAGTGTTGTAAGCATCATTACTGTTTATCACATAAAAGCATATCTTAACAACAAACCATGGCTTTTCTTGACTTAGGGGAGGAAATCAGGGCATTTCACATATTTTGGACTTCTCTTTCTTCAGCCCCAACATACAGAGTCAGAGTCAAATAAGCATGTGATCTATATCCCTAATGTTTGAAGAGTTCCAAATTGACTACTTCTGATTTAAGAAAATGGCTTATGATCAGATTTACCTACAAAGCTTATGTAGGACTTCATTGTGTTTTTCAAAAATAGTTTATTGTTTTGATGCATCATTTTTTTTATAAAAAGTAATTGTCTCCTTGAATTTTCAGAACTTCTTTCAAATAGTTAGCAACCTTCTGGATGAAGAAAACAAAGAAAAATGGGAAGACGCACAGCAGGTAAATATCCCATGTGCTGTTGACACATCCCTGTTTTCTGCTTCAAAAGGATTGTTGTTGATTCATCAGTCAAAGATCATCCTAGTTGACCTGGCCCCCAAGAACTGTGCGTCTAGTGACTGCATGTTTTCATCTCTTGGATTGTCAAATATATAGGTTGCAAGGCTATGAATAATTGCTAGTTCTCATGAAGTTATAGGATGAAGGGCAACTTTATTGAAGAAAAAGAATCAGAGAGAATTAAGACTTCATGTTCTGCTTGTATTTAATTGCTGGTACACAAAACAGATATTTGGCCTGCTCCATCAGTGCTCTTTTTATATACTTATATGGACATTAAGGGGGTATGATGGCTCAGTGGTTAAAGACACTGAGCTTCTCAGTTGAAAAACTGACAGCTCAGGTTCAAGACCTGAATGCCACGTGACAAGGTGACAAGGTGCCATGTGTCCTTATCCTAGCTCCTGTCCACCTAGCAATTCAAAAACATGTAAATGCAAGTAGATAAATAGGTACCACTTTGGTGGGAAGGTGACAGTGTTCCTTGTGCTTCAGCATATAGTCATCCTGACCACATGACCACAGAAATGTCTTCAGACAACACTGGTTCTCTTGGCTGAGAAACACAGATGACTCACAGATGAACACCGCTCCCTAGAGTCGGACACAACTGGAGTGGGGAAACCTTTACCTTTCTTTACTTCATGATATAAACTTTGTTATTGACAGAAGTTTCCTTGTTTGTCCCAGTCTTAGTATATTTGCACATATATAATTCAGAATACTTAAAAGATAACATAACAAGATAGGTTGTCAGGAAAGAAATGACTGGTTTTCCACAAGATATCATTAGATTTAATATTCATTGTTTGCTATAAACCATATATGCATATTTTATAACTTATGAGATAATATATTTGGCAGGAAGACTTTCAAAAATCATTTGGTAGGATTTTAGATTTACCATAATGAGTTTTTAAAGTTATATTTTAAGACAGTTTGCATTGAGTGAGTGACATGCATCCAATAATGTTGCAAAATAATTATTTAAAACAGTTCTCCACCTTTGTCCAAAAGTAAAATATCTGAAAACATACATATGCAAATTATATGTGTAAAGTTAGCATGTAAAAGCCAAATCAGAAATAATGCACAATTAATTCAATTGCTTCTTCATCTTTTGATTTTAAGAATTTAAAAATCAATTTTTGCTGATATCCATTTATCATCTATTTTTCCACGTACTTAATTGACTTTGTATAACTGCTCTCCAGGAATGGAATAGTCAAAATTGTACTCTTTTTATCATAAAGTGAACACTTTTTCCTTTTGATTTCTTATTAAAAGAACTTGCAATGCAAAATTACCTGCATTGTAATGACTGTAAATTTATACACTGAATCAAAAAATAACAGTGTGCTAAATTCATCAGGAAACTCAAGCAAGTCCCTTCTATTTCTCCCAGGAGATTCTCATTTAACCCTCATTATATCCTCATTATATTATATGAACCACGCAGTGGCTCAATGACTAAGACGCTGAGCTTGTCTATCAAAAGGTCTGCAGTTCAGCGGTTCGAATCCCTAGTGCCATGTAACAGGGTGAGCTCCCATTACTTGTCCCAGCTTCTGCCAACCTAGCAGTTCGAAAGCATGTAAAAAATGAAAAAATGCAAGTAGAAAAATAGGGACCATCTTTGGTGGGAAGGTAACAGTATTAGGGTTAGGGTTAAATGCATTTGGCGTTTAGTCATGCCGGTCACATGACCATGAAGACATCTTCGGACAGTGCTGGCTCTTTGGCTTTGAAACGGAGATGAGCACTGCCCCCTAGAGTCAGGAACGACTAGCACGTATGTGCGAGGGGAACCTTTACCTTTATATCCCAAAAGATCCCCTACCTTTCAGTGCACATATGCCAATCCATTTTAGATGTTTTTGGGGAAAACAAGCTTGATCCATGAGAGCATGTACTATTGCTGAAAAGGCACCCATGGAACAACCCCACTGTTCTAGCATTCATTTATTTTGTTATGCTGCTGGTGATTATTGTACAAATTGGGATCCTGCAGTTACTGAGCTTGCAACATTTTGTTTTTCTTCCTAAAGATCTACCAAGGCTCCATAGAACTAATGCAGGTGATTGAAGATTTTATACACATTGTTGGAATGGGGATGATGGACTTTCAGAATTCGTACTTAATGACTGGAAATGTAGGTAAGAAATAGGAATGTCTTTTACCACATACATACTTTAAGATTTCTTAAAAAGTCATATCATGTAAATATTATTTATGTGATAAATAAGATTGAGATCCATCCTCTGTTCCAAATATTTTTTTTTGTATTGGTCATCAAAGCATGTATATTATGTTCCCTTTTGATCGACATTTTGAAAGTCAGTGTGATTATGAAGTAAAATATTTTTTTTCTAATCTGAAGTTGCAGATATCACAGGAGCAAATAAACCTACTCTGAAATTACTTTTGCAGCTTTTCTAATGAAGTTTCAATTCTGTTATATGTAATGTTACACAAAAAGGGCTATGTTATTTCTTCCTCTGAAACTAAAATATAAGGCACTTTAATGGAAACCCTTGTGAGTAAATCAAATGGACTTCATAAACAAAAGTTTCTCCAAGAAGCAATGGTCCGTTATAAGTCTGTAGAGATTCTCAGTCATTCAGGTCATGGGTGTCCCCAAGGTGCTTTTTCAGGCGGCAAATGGACTTTCTTGTTTTTTCTTTGAAGACATTTCGCTTCTCATCCAAGAAGCTTCTTCAGCTCTGACAGGATAGTGGGGAATAGAAGGATTTGTATTCCTTGCAGACAGTTGGTCATTTGCATCCTTTTAGAGGGTCATTGAAGCACTTGGAGATTTATCTGTATCCTACTCAGGTGACCCTGAGGACACATATAAACCTCTAAGTGTTTCAACAACCCTCTAAAACATGGGTGTCAAACTCACAGCATCACATTGCCGTCATGTGATGTTTTACGATGGTTTTCCCTTTGCAGAGCTCGGGTGGGCATGGTTTGTGCATGATGCATCCGGCCCCCAGGCTGCCAGTTTGACACTCCTGCTATAAAAGGATGCAAATGACCAGCTGTCTGCAAGGAATACAAGTCCTTCCATTCCCCCCATCCTGTCAGAGCTGAAGAAGCTTCTTGAATGAGAAGTGAAATGTCTTCAAAGAAAAAACAAGGAAGTCCAGTTGCCTCCTGAAAAAACAGCTTTGGGACAATGATCTGTTATAATTAGGGAGTTAAAATATATCCTGGAAGAAAGGCAATAGCAAATCATTTTCACGTTACATGAAGGCAACTGCATTGTTATCTCTATGTAAGTCATCAGGAGTTGAATTTGATTCAAAGATGACTTTATATCAAATTAAATACAAGTATTAGGTAGAAACTCTGTTTTAATTTTAAAAATAATAATAATAATAATAATAATAATAATAATAATAATAATAATAATTTTATTTCTATACCGCCCTTCTCCCGAAGGACTCAGGGCGGTGTACAGCCAATTTAAAAACACAAGACACAACAATGATTAAAAATTAAAATAATTAAATAGATTTGGCCGATTTAAAATTATTATGTTGATAGCCCGGTAGCATAGTTAATTCTTTTGCATCCATATCTTCATTAACATTTGAATTCCAAATGTGCATCCTTTTTTATGAGTTATGGAAAGGTCAAGGAATAAGGGACATTATAGCTGATACATAGTAGATAATCAAGAAAGTCATGGAATTAAAAAAAAATCAATATGTGTTTATTGCTTACAGAAAGGCCTTCAGTTAGATTGACTATATCAAGCTGTAGCATGTCTTTATGAAAATAGGAATCCCAGAATATTTTACTGTCCTCATGTGAAACTTATATCTAGAGGATGCTATAGACCACCCAGAGTCACCTCGAACAACAAGATGTGTGACATACAAATTTAATTAAATAACAATAATAATAATAATCATGAAATATCGCGACCTGGCCATCGAAACTACACGGCTATGGATGAAACATGTAACAGTGATACCCATTGTCATCGGGGCACTTGGTACCATGTCCAAGAATTTTATAACATACATCAGCAAATTGCAGCTTCCTGCCATAACACCAGCGGAACTGCAAAAAACTGCGCTACTTGGAACATTGTACATCTTAAGAAGATACTTGGTTGATACCTAGGACGCTGGCAGAAACCCATATCAAACATTATCGCCCGTCAGTGGTATTTGTGATGCATTTTTGAATGTTCAGTTGACTGAGTTTCATATTTAATGAATAAAGATAATGACAACAACAACAACAACAACAACAACAACAACAACAACAACCCAGATAGAACACGGCAAAGCAGACTGGCTCCAAGTCAGCAAAGAAATAAGGCCAAATATATATTGAGGGAAAGTGAAAAAGATGAATGTGGTTTTAAAATTGGAGGAAGAAACACTAGTAACCTGTGCTATGTTAATAACATTACTTTGGTATCTGGAAATGAAAATATTTGGTAAACTAAGAATGAAAATCAAGATGCACATAAAAAGGAGGGAGTAGGATTAAAGGTAAATAAGAACAAATTAATATAAAGAAGACTAACAGGTATAGCAACCACCCTTAGAACTGTCAAAGAAAATACAGAAGTGACGGATAGCTTCTGCCTTTTAGTATTGACTATCAACAGTGAAGCACTCAAGAAAAATGTCACATGCAGAATCATGCAGGCAATAGAAAGTTTTAAACTTTGAAAAATCAGAATTAGAAGAGTGTTGATGTTTGGAAACTTTGATATTGGATTTGGATATAGTCCAAGAAGAAAAACCAAATGGATTATTGAACAGATCAGTCCAGTGTTCTCACTTAAGGCACACATGACCAGGTTCAAGTAATATTCTGAATATATTGTGTATATTCTACCTACCTCTATTGAGAAATCTATAATGCTGAGAGGGGTAGAAGAGAATAACCACCAGTAAGTTGGATGGCCTCAACTATAATGGCAATGATTGCACCATTTGAATACTTGAAGGACCAGATTAGGGATAGGTACTACTGATGAAAATCTGCCTATGTGGTTGCTAAGAGTCAGCATTGACTTGATGGGACATAATTACCATCAGTCATTGAATTAGTCGGATAGAGACAGTGGTGAAATCCAAATATTTTTACTACCAGTTCTGTGGGCGTGGCATGGTGTGGCTTGGTGGGCATGGCAGGGGAAGGATATTGCAGAAACTCCATTCCCTCCCCACTCCAGGGGAAGGATATTGCAAAATCTTCATTCCCACCCCACTCTGGGGCCAGACAGAGGTGGTATTTGCCAGTTCTCTGAAGTGCTCAAAATTTCCGATACCGGTTCTCTGAACTACTCAAAATCTCCACTACTGGTTCTCCAGAACCTGTCAGAACCTGCTGGATTTCACCCCTGGATAGAGAATATCCCAAAGGCTAAAATTTGGTAGCAGGTAGTTTACTTTCTGACAAATGTTCATACTCGCCATGTCAAATGTTTTGTGAATCACCACCCTACCCCACTATAGCTGTTTTATGAGGACAATCACCACAACGTCTTAAAATGTTTTCACCATCTCAAAAAGACTATTTACTTTAGTTATAGACATAGTGGACTTCTTAGCCATCATAAATATAGTAATCCCTATTGGTGATTTGTAATCTAGGTCTATTTTTTAAATCTCCCATCAGAAAAAAATCTTCTTTAAATATTATATTGAAGTGCCAATTTCACAAAAATCACAAAATCACAGAAACCTTGCTTTCACAAGACAAAGCAATAGGAAAAAAATGATGCTTGATGTGCTGAATAGAGATATTTTTTTACTGGCTTGATGGATTTGGAGGTGTTTTGAAGGATGACATTTAGTGGGTGCTGTATTTATTTTAAGGTGGCTTGCTCTCATTTCATGCAATAGAAGAGGCAGAAATAGCTGTTTGCCATAATTAAGTAGTGAAGAAGATGTTGAGGGAAATAACCTCTCCTAATGCTGTGGCAGTTCTGCACATGTGAATGTTACTAAATAAGTTCTTGAATAGCCTTAAATAGACATCTCAGGTTAATAGAATTAATAAGTGTTAGTATAGAATCTGAAAGAGTAAAGGGAAGCAGCTATTAAATATACTGGATTTAGCAATCATACAACATGCTTCTGTCGTGTTGAAAAAGCTGGAGGCTCCTCTCTTATATCTAACAATCAAGAGCAAAATTGGCATTGGCACTGACATACAACACTGTTCATAATTTTTATGTCAGTAAAATCAATTCTGAGCCAAAGACATTTCCGAAAAGACTGATTAACAGAGAAACAAAAAGAATCTGCTGCTGTAGAGAGAGATAGAAGGAGGAAGGGAGGGAGAGGGAGAGAGGAAAGAAGTGATATTGTTTATGTAAACAGCTTGACTAAAACAGTGATATATTTAACAAGCATAATCACAACAATTGCCTGCAGGAAAAGACTGTGAATTCACAAAACATCTTAATACTTAGCACAAACTAACTGGGCTATCACTTACAAATTGTTACTTACAGTTCCAAACAGGCATATAAAACAGGCATGTTAAAAATTACTATTATTATCATAATCTATTTGAACTACTTTTTCACTATTCTGATTATGTTTTCATAAAGAGTATCATATGCTCTTCAAAAACATAGTTGTATATGTTACAGGCATGTTTTCTTAACCATGATGATGACAAAATGATGGCATGATACAACCACCATACTTATATACAAGTACGTAAGGATTAGAGGTTACATGGCAATATCCTTCCTCACCATGCCCTCTACTACAGATGCCGATGTATGCTTCCTCTTAAATAAATCTGCATAGAGTTGTAACTCAAAATAGCAGATCCCCTACCATTTCAAATGTAAAAAAAAAAAAAAAAGATTATGCACATATGGCCTGTGACTATGGTAGGAGGCAGAATTTGCTTGCCAAATACTCAAGACATGTATTCTGTTGAACACATCAGAAAGATAGGAAGAAAAAGAAAAGTTACTAGAGGACATTCTGGAAAAGAAAGGGATTTTTTTAAGATGCTTGTTGTACCATTCTATATGCGCTGTATGATGCTTTAACCTTGTGTGTATACATTTAACTTTGTGAATCTATATATGTATATGCAAATGAACACTCACATGTATAAAAGTATATGTGTCCAAGAAAACCGTCCCACAAGAGACAGG